AAATTTAAATGGCCCAATAATTTATTAATATGTATACTGTGCCTTATTTTTCTCCATGCAGGTGGCAGGGGAAAACTGTATGAGACAAATGTTGGAAGCTTTAGATGGCGAGACATATTCCTTTAGGTATTATTACACACTAATAATTTTTTTAAGGTTAATGCAGAGCTATGATATATCATATGATTGTGCTAGATAATGAAAAATAATATTTTTTAAAATTTTTTTTTTAAAGTCATGTTCTACCGATGCTGAGCTTTTTCCAGACAAGATCAATCAAACAAACCACTGTGTTTAGAGGACCTCTGGAGATTGGCTCTCAGCTGAAAATAAATGTTTATGGGTACAATAGGGTAAAGAAAAGATATTTTATTATTGTTATTTTTTTTTAATGACAATTTATCAATGTGACCAGCATTTAGCTATGATTAGCAGGCTCTTCTGGCTAACAGTTAATACAAAAAGTACAGCATTATGTGGAATGTTGACAGTACTCTACATCACCACTTAAAGTTTGAATTTTCAAGCAGCTTTGTTTCATTTGTTTTCTATCAGTCCTTAATGGATTTTTAGGGATTGTTTTCCCCCATACTGAAGGACATGTACCTCATCTCACCCTATCCTGTTTTTGCTCATTGCACTTATCCAATCAGTGTTGACAGGTGTCTGGAATTGTTGTTACTCATGCACTGTATGTTGGGCAAATGAGTTTTGCACCTAATACCCCAGACACCTACCTACTATTGAAGCAAAGAAGCTGGTTTAATCTGCAATTGAAGAGATGCAAGGAGAGAAGCCTTAAACTCATGTCAAATTTTCTTGCATTCCCTGTGAAACATGGTGAGATTATTTGACCAAGCGTAAGAAAGTCATGCAGGGCTTTGATCCGTTCTCTTTATCCCCAGTCAATTGACCCATCAGTAGATTTCAACATGATGAATTGAAAATGCTACAACTGTATTTTTGTCCTAGAATAACTTTAGCTCTTTGATTTATCTGAAGGTAAGGGAGGAGAAGTTACCACCCTGGAAGAAGTTGTCAGCTGTTTCTCAAATGTCTCCTAACCCTGACACAATGGAAGTACAGATGCAACGGTCATATCACTTGATTGATGAAGATGATACTGAAGTTGACAAAGAAAATGTAGCCCAAGGTATAACTCTGACACAAATGTTTTTTTAATACCTGCTTATAAATCCTTGCAGTGGCACTAAGAGGGGTTGAAGGAGGGAGAGGGGCTTTTTTATGAGGGGTGCGTGATTTAGTATTAGAGGTTTCAGTGAGAGCCTAAAACTGAGATGAAATTCACCATCTCTGTCAAGCAGAATCTCTGCTTACTTTCTCTAGGCTCAACAACATGAGAACAAAAATCAAACCATTAGTAGCCCATTTCATTGAAGTTTTTGCTTAGCCTACTTCAGAATGTATGGGAACATTTGTGAGGGTGAGATTGTGACTTTTTTTGGTGGGGACATTTTTTTTCTTTAATTTTTACTCAATGCTGATCCTAAAATTTTAGTTGTGGTACTTGTTCTCAAATTGAAAATACCAAAATACCAAATAAAAGCACTTCCTACAACTA